TCCCTTTGAAAAGAGGAATACTCATTTCTGGAGTAAATGAAAGCAAGACTTATGGAGAGTTCAACTTTTGAATTATGCCCAGATTGATTTAGGAGTGCGGCCGTCCCTGAGAAAAGAGTAAGTGTTTTGGTATTTGGCCACGACACAGACAAATCGGGTGATATCCGAGGAGTACAGAGACATATTAGAAGCATCAAGTGCTCTATTAAAACAAAAGAAGTAATTTCCTGACCTCCTCAAAGTCGTCGCTGACCCAGAGAGGGATCGGTGTGCCCCAGTAGCGGTTCCTGGAAATCGCCCAGTCCCGGGCGTCTCTCAGCCAGTTCCCGAAACGCCTCTCCCGCACAAATTCAGGAACCCTACAGAAACGAATAAGGATGGTGATGATTGTCAAGATTGTAAAAAGTTTGAACATGATTTAGCAGCTATTTTACAACCACCACTTCTACTAGAAACCATTTAATCAGGGTTCATCAACTTGATTAAAAGAAATAATCGTGAAAGATTATTGCAATTTAATTTCATTGTCATACTGAAAATACAACAGAAAACCAGTAAGGATCACATGTGAAAATACTACTTCATCACATTTGTACTACCTACCAGCAGTAACAATAACAACAAATGATAAAATAAAGTGAGCACATGGTAATTTAACTCATCAACAAGGATGTAAACCTAATCAAATTAATCCAAATCGTGGACATGAGATGATTTATTCAAAATGTCCAAATGTCATTTTGAGATGAGCTTCAGCTACTGTAGATTGCAGTTCAAAGGAATAAAAAATCCTCCCAATCCACTGTCAAAACATCAACCACCTACAAACTATAAGTGGGTGATGTTTCCCAACAGTCTGCAATCTGATAAAAAAAACATTTTGCAACCGTTGTTAAGGCCATGTTATGCAAGAGAAAATATTGACGGCTTTTGTATATCAAATTTAACACTCAAATAAGTCAATTTAAAAAAAACCTACAGACACGCTGCTAATGTGTGCTTTAATGTGAAATATAATGTTCTCCCAACATGAGCAAGACATTAGTATAGCATCCAGTATTCCCTATTGTCGACTCGCTCTTCTTTCTGGTTTTAGCCCTAAAAATAAACAGTTTCGCCGTATTTATGAAGCTCAACCGCAAAGGTTAACGTTCCCTCCGAGGCGTCTTCCTCCCACATTCCCCTTTTCTGCTCTCCCCCTTTTCCCATTTAGCCTCAACCAATTTCTAACTTTAATCTACTATCTCACAATCTCTTCCTCTTTTTTTCTTCTCCCCTCCTCTCTGGCTTTGCCGGGCAGTGTTGCTCAGGAGAACAGAGGAAGTGTGTGGGGAGGGGAGGGTTGGGGGAGGGGATAAATTGTCTAGCAACGAGTTCATCAATTCCCATTTGTAGGAGGCATTTCTATTTAGGCCCCTAATATATCAATTTAATGATTTCTTTTCTCCTGCTGCTCACCAGCCACCCACCTCCTCCCCCCACCCCCGAACACTCATCCACCACCTCGCCCTCCTCCTGCTTCATTCTAAATGTAGAATTTTAAATGTGCTGTCTTGTGCTCAAGACACACAGTGGAGCCATTTAACATGTACAGGCTTCTATTATAAGTCAGAGACACTGGGGACGGATTACAAACAGGGAGCCAGAGGGACAGAGGTTGTGGTCAGGACCGATTGAGCATAATGGCAAAAAGATAGAGGAGGATGAAAACAAGAAAAAGGGGAAGAAAAAAATTTAATCTGATGCGAGTTTGCAAATAAGCGGGGAATAGGCTGGACCCGAATGATGGTCGTCAATCAGTGACAAACCCTACATCAAACATTTGGTCCAAAAGTGTTTGTCTGCTCTAATGTCAGCTGCAAATGTTGAAATATCTGGAAAGGTAGACTGACTAAATCTGCTAGCGATAAAAATAAAGCCAACAATCGGCCGCTGAAATGAGACCAATCAAGGACCCAATCATTTAGAAAAAAAAAACAGCATCCAGAGACCAGCGCTCCTTTGAGGAAAGTGATGAAAATGAACAAATGAAGAATATGGTAATAGCACTCTGAAGTACCGAGCTCAGGGAAGTTCCCCCCTCAGGTAAACGCTGTTAGTTCTGTCAGCTGTTGTCACCAAACTGACTGTTATTAGCAGTAGTTCATTCAATAGTTAATCTCAAATTTCAATATCAATTGCAACATTTTTTTGGAGGTGACGAGACAAAGGATGTCCCCTTGGCCTCGGCATTATATTAAATCATTCCACTGCAAATAAAACTCCTGTAACACACTGCAACTTTAATTTTCAGCCCACATGAGGGACGTAGCCTCTAGAGTGCTGTGTGTGTGCGCGCGTTTGTGCCGGTCTCCGTGTACATGTGTGTCTGTGCGTCGTCACCTTACTTGCGGCTACTCATTCATCTTAGTTTGACAGCCCCATTACCGGAGGCAGTTACTGTGGCTCAAAAAAGAGCACTGGGAGCCAGAGGTAACACCACTTAGTAAAGCCATCATGCCAACGCTTCCTTTTGCTCCACGTTCTGCCTTTAAAGTTAAGCATCGTGTTCATTTATGCCTTGATGGAGATGTGTCTTGCAGAACCAAACAACTTGCTGTGCCATGCAGAAGCGTGGCTGTAATTGTTTTGGGTACTGCTGCCAAGTCTTGGGAGTATTTGAGAGCCCTCGACGCTCATTGCCGCCAGTTCCCTGTCACTTAGCGCCAAGCTAGCATACCAGCTGCCTCAGAAGAGAACATACCAGTAGCATTTGCTGTTGTTGTCCAGTAGTTTCTCCACCATGTGCTCCACTCGAACAAACCAGCTGGGGACAGCTTTGTAGATCAGAGGCGTGTCAGACCTAAAGGCATAAACCAACAAGATTACATAAACCGTAGTGCTGCAAAATAAATTGCATTTATAAGACAAATCAAATTTCATGAAGCAGGTCAGGACGGTTGTTGATGTTATTTACCTATTGCATTGTTTGTTCAATGTTCCTCTGTCATGACTACTGAATAGAAGTCGGGCTGGTTCAGTTAATAATAGGCAGCCCTTTTCTAGCTACGCTAGGAGCATGGCTGCAGGAATGGCAATGCTGCGCAGTCTGAATCATCTGAACAACTATTAGTCATTCAGAGAGATCAAATCGTAGTAGGTTGCAGCCCAGAAACTCCACTGCTTTCAAATACAGTGGAAAAAACACACCAAGACAAATTAACTACAACTGAACGCAACATCTATTTAGCATCATAATTCTATTAGTTCGCTCGACTTGCTGCCAGAGAGGTTATAATAATCATATACAATAATAATCTCTACAACTAATATGAGGTTTAAAAGTACACCCTTGAAGGATAACCCGACCGTTTCACGCTCTCCGAGCAAACGTCTTCTCGGGGCTCAAAGAGCGCGTCGCTGCTATTTACCGAGTTAATTAATCCTGCTCAGGTCAGGTCTGCCTGCAGCTGCGCCGAGTGAGACAGTGATTTAGTTTGTTTAAAACGTTAATGTGTTTACGGGTGGGTCTGCATGTGCTTGTTATGTGATGATGTGGGAACTAGAGGTCGGGTGCATGTCACCACTCATTGGCTTTGTGAATTGATTTTGTGCAGATCACAAAAACGTCCAGTGACTGCACTGATTGCTGAACTGTACATTATCTTTATAACATTGAAGTGGTTTTATAGTTTGAACGTTTGTCTTACCTCCAGCAGAAAGGGTAACTATGTTTGAAACTGCTGGCATTGACAAGGCGACCCTTCTCCTTCAGCCACTTGATGATGTTTTTGTCGGCATCCTAAGAGAGAAAAAAACTATTTTAAAAATGTGCATTTTTAAAGGGTATTATAATATCAGGCTAAAGAAAACAGTGGTCAGGGCGGTCAGAAAGGGTACAGCGATGACCCTGTAACTGCACCCTGCTGTGACGTCATAGTGTACCGAAACACAAAGGCATCGGAGGTCAACCAAAACGTTTTTCAGCTGACGTTAAACAGTTTAAACATGAAAAAAGGAGGTGGTAAGGATGATAAAAATAAAAACTACTGTGCACAACTGTCAGTTAGATGCAGCTGCCGGAGTTAAAAGAAACCATATGTCAAACAATTCCTTTATTAGGCTCACATATCAGACTTTCAAGATTACATTTTCTCATTTAGGTAGGAAGCTCTGAATCATCGTAGGCAGCACGGCTTCAAGTTTTCCTTTCAGAAAAAAAGTTTAAGTCACAGCCAAGGTTACGGCCTCCCCATTCAGGCGTGATGAATACCACCAAAGAGGTAGGAAGAAATTGTCCGTTCTGTCCTCCAGCTTATTGTTTATGGCCAACAATCTGATAAGTAATCAGCCCTGCGCTTCTCATCACGCACCATTTCATCCGCCTCTAACCAAGCTCACAGTGCAATTCACAGGAAGCTCATAAATATGACTTCTCAGCAAGGTGTTTGGCAGACTGTTGGTCGTGACCCCTTTGTAGAGAGAGGCGCTTCAGATTCTCTCAGCCCGGAGAACATTTTGTTGTGCGCTGACCCGGACTCATTAAAACATGAAAGAGGACCTGCAATGTGGAGATTCATTGGAACTTTGCCTGCAACCAAATCGAAAGAATTTCACCACCTGGCCAATTTAGCATAAACAAAGGCTACTATAATATTTATTTATGTGTGTGTGTATATATATATATATATATATATATATATATATATATATATATATTATATATAAATATATATAAAATTTACCAGATTACACTCACATATTTGTCACTCCTTTGTAATAGTTGTTAATAAATAGTAACTTTGGCGATGCATCATGTTTTAAAAATTATTTACAAAATAAAGAAAAAATATTACTTTAAAAAAGGTCTGAAATAATTTAAATTTTTTCGGTGGAAACTGATTTCCATCACATTAACTGTATTATTAGGTCAAAGTGACGATGGTAGATGGAAAAGAGAAAGGGAGAAGGAAAAAGACCAAAATATGAGGGAAACAAGACACAGAAGAAAGGATCAGGTATGTTGAATGCACTCACGTCAATCTTTATTATGTAATAATTGGTCGACATTAGTGGGAATAGTCAATATAGGAGTCGTGTCAAAACATTGAGTAATCAGTGGTGAATTGTGAAGACAAAACAAAAGACTGCTTTGTTTGGGTTGAGACGTGAAACGTCACAGCAGGACGATGCTTCTTCTGCAAAAGCAGGTGGGATCCAAGTTTCATCAAGAGAAGCAGTGGCGGCGGAAGACAGCCAGAAGATGTAGGGGAAAAAATGAAAAAAAAAAAAGAGTCTAACTCAAGAGAAATGAAGGCTTAAGCAAAGATGACAGGATGATGGCGTTACGGTACGGCAAGGATAGTAAGGTGGTTGGATGAGCTGAGGATAAAATCTCAATACTGAATGTCCAAAAAAAGATTTGTCAGACAGGTAATCTTGTTTCCTTCATTTTTTGATCAGAGGATTCCAGCTGACATTTGGTTTGCAGGTTGGGCATCTCACTATGGTAGGCATAGGTTTTTGCTTCATTTTTTTATCATTATTTTGGCAATTTTAAAATATCTGGGTCACCGTTCTCATGAAAGAACAAACGTGTTTAGAACGCTTTGTTTTGTTACATTTGATAAAAGTGTCCCTCGTTAGTTCAAATTTCAATAGTAAAGTTCCAAGTAGAGTGTCATTTTGGCATCCGTCCTGAAGCTCAAATCTGCGCCAAGTCGGTTATTGACCAGCCCCTGGAGTAAGGAGGGTAAAGTATGGGTAAGAAGTGAAGGTCATGAGCTGATACCTCCACTCTATAATTCTCTGCTCTTCTTCTCGGCCGCCGCTTCAGACCGTTTTGGCGATCCCAAGCCTGTGCTCCTCCCCTTCCAGCAGCTTCCTGTAGGTGGCGATCTCGGCATCCAGCTTGAGCTTAATGTGCAGCAGGTCCTGGTAGTCTTGGAGATACTTTGTCATCTCTAGTTTGGTTTCGCATAGCTGGGCCTCCAACTGATCAATGACACTCTGGAGGCTCCCCACCTTATCCATGTGGGACATTTCCATGTCGTCCAGCTGTTGCTCCAGGGCTCCGTTGCGAGCCTTCATACCATCTATCTGGTTCTGCAGCTCCGACACTTGGCTGTGGAAGGTCGTGATCTCGTCCTTCATGGTCTTCATTTGATCCTCGTGTTTGCCGGCGTGCTCCTTGAGGGTGTCAAACTTGCTCTTGTACCATTTCTCAGCTTCCTGGACGTTGCGGGCGGCGACCGATTCGATCTCGGCGCGCATGGTGCGCAGGTAAGCGGCCAGGTCGGGCCGATCGCCGTCCAGCTCCGCGGTGATCTTCGAGTCCTCGATCTGCTTCATGAGGTCAGCCACTTCCTCGTCGTGGAGCTTTTTGAGGAACTCGATCTCGGCCACCAGTTGCTCGATGCGCTTCTCCAGCTCTGCCTTCTGCAGCGTGGCACTGTCGACATCCTGGCGAAACTCCCTCAGGATCAGCTCGGCCTCTGCTTTGAGCTCCAGCTCCTCGTCCAGTTTTAGCCGCCACACTTCGACCTCTTCTTCAATGTAGCCTCGCTCAATGTCGGCCGCTCCCTTCTCGTTGGTCAGGGTCTCAATCAGCTCCTGCACCTCTTTGAACTTGAGCTCATATTCCTCCCCGATGCCCGCGGGGCCTCCCTTGTAGCGGCTCTGCAGCGCAGCCAGCTCAGCGTGAAGCGCGGCGTTCCTCTGCTCCAGTGCCTGGACCTTGTCGATGTATCCCGCAAACTTGACGTTGACCTCCTGCATCTCCTCTTTCTCGTTGGCGTGTTGCTGATGCATCTGCGTGCCCACCTCGACGGCGGTGCTGCGATAACCGGCGCGTCCGCGGTCGTCGTACGAGGACCCGCGGCACCGGGAGGGCGACGGGCTCTGAACCCTCACTCTGCCGCTGGAGCCGCTGACTTGCAGGCTCTTCTGGGTGTAAGACGCAGCCCTCATGGTTTGATTTTGTTTATTTTTCAGTTGACAGAGGAACAGCTCGCTCTCCCAGGTTCGCTTTGTGTTGACTGACGCTCCCTCAGATCACCTCGGAGTTTTTATGCGGCGATGAAGAATGTGTCGGACGGCCATGAAACTCACGCTTGCTTTTAACATATTTCAAAAGTGGATTATGACAATCTCTGGGTGGACTGTGGCTGCGCCCTGTTTATTAGCTAACGCTGTACTGTTACGGCCTAGGCAAGGTCAAGCACACCCTCTGGCCTTAACACCTAGATGTGAAATAGTGAAGAGATCATGTAGAACTGCTATTTTGCCCTCACTATCCACTTAGGATGGCACATAAGTTGGGTGTGACAGAGAAGGCACACGGTGCATTGGTAAACAGTCACAATGTGCTTTGGTAGCAGGTTTTCTTAAACAACCCTTCAACTCTCCCCACATCGACGCACAAGTCATGCGCCTAAAGAGTCCTTGTGGATTACATATGGAAAACATGAGGAATATTTCAGATTCTCATCTCAGCTAACGCCTCATATATTTAGAAAAAGCATTAAATCTATGAACCAAAAAGAAAGGGCACGTGATAGAAAGACGTTTTCCCCACATTTATAAACAGAAAATAGAGATGACCAAAGAGACCAGGTGGTGAAATAATAAACTAAATCAGCCATCAATACCTCAGAGGGTCCCATCATGTGTCGAACCAGTGTCTCTCACCGGGGGCGAAGCATGAAACGTCGGCTAACCTAGTCTACATGTAAACGTCTGAAGTGTCACTCACTTTGACATACTGTCCCACAAAGTCAGTGACCTCTGCAGTGAAGCAGCCCGAGGCGTCCACGGGGCAGATAGGAGCCTGGTCCCTCTGGATGATCTTGTATTCGGTGCACACTCTGTAATCATCCTGCAGAGGGAATAACACACATTCAGAGGGTTTAGTGAGTGATACTTTCTGTATTATGCAATTCTATGTTCATTATTAATGCAATTTACTGCAAAAACATAACTAATCTAGGAAATAATTGGTTGATCAATCGATCGACGAAAAATAATTGCCATATTTTGGTAATCTAAAATCCATAAATCCTTATTTTACAAACATGCCCTGAACAAATCAGGATTTCTTAGTTGTTTGTGAGAGTAATACCTTTGCTTTTGGAGAGTGCGTTGTATGAAACAAGTAGTTGAATGTCAGATTGGTCTTGACAGACAATTATTTATTAAATGTCAGAAAATGGGGAATATTAACTATTAATCAAGAAAAAAAGTCAAAATAGTATAGTCAACAGTAAAAAAAAAAAGAAATACAATTTCTAATTTTAAGTCATTCACTGTTGCCGTAGGAACATTTTGATGAATGTGTCTGGAAATAATTAGGTCAGATTATCTTGACATAGTGACCCAATTAATTCAAGCTAATTTGTTTGATATTATCCTAGAGATGCAAACTTTATGAAAATAACTAATTATCTAACCCATTTGGCAGCTCGTTCAAATATATGACTCAAAATTCTTGTTGAGCTGGATACTTTTTGCAGTGTTGAAGGAATCTGACAGCTATGCATGAAAGATCGGAGCACTGTCCGGCTGTAAATGCATTTCGTATACAAACACCTTGTCAAGATCCAAGACGAATGGCTCACAGGGTCACATCCAGTCATAACAACACACTATTTGAAAAATGTACTCTGGCAGCGCATTTCTTCTCACTGTATATCTTCAGGGGAAATGCATTTGGGTTTCAGCCACCAATCAAAGTAAATGTGATCCTAAATAACAGGAGCATTACCAAATAAGAATCTTTACAGGACGGCAGTGAAATAAGCAGAAGACTGCAGAAGAGAAGGCCAAGATAAATAGAAGGAAATAGTACATATCTCCAGTTGACTACAGCTTTCATCTACGCCTCACAAGGGTGCCCAATTAGAAATATTTCAATAACCGTAATGGCACTGCGACATGGGCTTCGACACAGTAGGAATACACTGATAGCGTAGCATTTAATACAGATATTTCACAAAACTCAAATAGGCATATACCTCGATCTCTCATGGTGTCCATGAGAAATTGAAAGTACAAGATGAGACATTGAATTCTATATTTCATATGTAAAAAAATATATATAAGTTAGATAAGTTAGTTTTCAAAAATAGCTTAAAAAAACATTAGAATTTGTATACACATTTTGGTAAGGTTATTATTGCTATATTATTGGTAAACAGAGTATCCGACTTGTTGGAAAACTTTTTAATAAGTGCCAATTCTCCACCTCTGCATGATGATATCATTTGTATCATGCTATCATACACTTGTTAACTTTCTATAAACCAATGTGGTGTTGAAACAATAAGTCAATCAAGTAGTTATAAACTATCAAAGAGGAATTTATCGAGTACTTAAATTTCTTTGCATTTCTTCGGCCACAAAAAGAATAACGATGGGCACTGTTTTTTCTGGCAGCTTATAAATCAAAAGATTAATCTTTTGGTAAAAATAAATGCATTAAAGAAAAGCATGAAATCAGTGAGAATAACCACACTCACAGTTCCAAAGTAAGGTGCCTGGTGAACCACTCCCGTGCCCTCTTCCTCCTTGACGTAGTTATCCATCACCACCTGGAAGGCTCCTTTCTCCCCACACTGAAGTGAAAAGAGGATGAGGAGAATTAGATGAAGCGAGTGGGGTGAGGAAGCAAAAGAAATACAGCCACACATAACGGTGTTGATAGGAAGAGAGAGATTAAGAGACAGATCTAAAGAACGTAAACGGAGATTCCAATTTGTGGTGGGACAGGTAATTAAAGTGAGACATGGGTCCATCTTGAGTCTGCGCCAAACAATTCCTAAACCTGTGGAACAAGAACACTAACCTCAGCAAAGTACTCAAAAAGAGGCTTGTATTTCTTCCCTTTCAGCGTCTTGCCAGGAAATCTAAATAAAACAAAACACATTTAAAGTTCAGTTCACCTTCATTTACTCCAATATTTCCTTGAGTTGAACATGATTTTTGAATATGACATTGTTCAGATGAACGCTATGCAAAATACTGCAATTACATGTAATATCTAAATGTATGCATTATAGTAATTTATGCATTATAGTCATTACCATGCAATATATTGTTACCAATTGGCTGATATAAATAATTTCAGTTTTTTGTTGTTGAGGAAGATCTGATTTTCAGAAAAACGTATGATACAAAGCCAATTAAAACATCTTTAATGAACCATAGGGAATATCCGATCAGAATTTGGATACAAATAAATCTCTGCTTCCATGTTTGAAGACTTCGAAGAGGAGTCTCTCGCCATTTAAGACATTGACATGCCTTCTTTATTGTCAGGTAATTGGTCCACTATAAGGGACACATGGATATAAATCTTGCCTGGAAATGTGTCCAACTGGTTTTCAGTGTATTCTGTATCGATTACTAAAGTGCATGTATGGCACTATTGTGGATTGATCAGAGATGTGTGCTGAATACAACCCCACAATGGTTTAATGTGATACATTTCTACATTAAACACTATATGCGGTCAGTGTTTAGCTGCAGAGAATAATTTGAATCAAATCCTGGATATTCGTAAATCGTTTTTTTTGTATTTTCAGATTGCTAGTTTTTTTTAATCTGGTGCTGTGTGCTTACTTGTCGAGGAGAGTGTACTCGCTCTCTGTCTTAAACAGAACTCCCAGCCTGGCCTCCATCAAAATGTAGGTCTTCTCTGTGGCGTTATCTAAAAGACCAACCAAAAAAAACACACGTGACTGCATTCGTTACTCTGCTGCCTGGCCTGTGAGTTGAAATAAATCATCCCATGGCTCCTTGTATTAAAACCTGAGCTCCACACTTTAAACAAGAACACATCTCATATCAGGGAATAAACGGCAGAAGACATGGAGATGAATTAAAGAGCACTGGCAAGACATTAGAATAATGAAAAGCTTCACTTTAAATGCTTTTAAAAACCAATTCTGATATACTGCAAATCTCTAAAATCTGTTCATGATTCATGATTAAAAAAATAATGGTTGTGTAAAATGTGGGATTTAATAGAGCCCGACTGAACTCAGCTTTAATTTGAAGATCTTTATGTCTCATCTTATTATTTGTTTTTAACAGCACTGTCATTCATACAGTACCAGTCAAAATTTTCTCATACAATTAATTGAGAAAGTGTAGAGCTTTTTACTGCTATTGTATAATAATTATTCCATAGGACATTGAAAAGAGACCGCTGGTATAAAAAAATCATCCACACAGCATTCATGAGGGTAAAGAGGGAAAGAGAAACATGAAAGTTTTTGCTGAAAAGCTACGGCGGAAACCAAAGAGGTTTACTGACCTGTAATGTTACGTCCTTGGCAATAAACAAAAACATGATGTAGTCTAACCAGGTAAATGTGAAGGAAAAGTTTTTCACATGACCATTAATGACCAAAACTAAAAGACTCTCAGCCAACATTTGTATTTTCTGTTCACAGTAGATTAAATTAAGTGAGAAGAAAGATATTGATCGAAGTGATGAAAAAACATTTTCATGGACTTTGGTCATTTTGCTGAAGTCTGCCATCCAAACAGCCCCCTTGGATTGATTTATGTTTAATGGATGTCATGTCATGTCATGTATGCAGCAGCTTCTTAAAAGAAGCATCGAACAGCCCTACTAGAGTTTCACGATAATACAGCGACACACAAAGTCAAGGTCAGGTCAGGACCGCATACCGCAGCTGCGGCCGAATCAACCTGCAACGCTGCTTCTCGAAAAAAAAGTTGCCACCTCAAGTAAGAAACTCCCTGGACATCCGTCCGGTTATTTTAGCAACAATAACAGACGAGATGGCGAACAACGGGGACAACAAGGGAGAGAAGTGGGCAGCATCAATAAAAGATGTTTCTTCCCCTCAGTGGTGTGACAAATGATTGCACAGCTCAGACCTGCTGCTGCTGCAGACAGCCCCTCGACTCAGACAGCAGCAAAGGGAAGGGACTCAAAAAGAGAGACGGGAAATAACAACGAAGGACAAAACCGGTGCATGCGGAGGCAAAGAGAGCGATAAGAAAAAAAAAAATGAGCAGAGGGGAAAAATTGGATGAAGAGAGAAAGAGGGAGGGGGGCAGGAGATATAAAAAGGAGACTGAGCTACAAAAAAAAAAAAAGCCCTTTCATTGGTATTCTAAGGCAGCCTCCCATGCAGCACAGGCGGTGCTGCCAGGACGACACACTGTGCTCCACCAGTGCCCCCTGCAGGACCTAAGAGGCTATGAGCAAACTCCATAAATCTAGGTCACCCTTTAAAAAGAGTTTTTAAAAAAAAAAAAAGAAATAGTGCAAGAGTGAGATAAAATCCCCAGCCACCTCTCTGGAGTACATCTTCATATATTTGAACAAGGACAACACTTTTTGTGAGTGGCCTGATTTGAGGTTCACCCATATTTCTTGGGTCTGACGCTTCACCCACAAACAAATGTCGATGTCATACTACACTAGCACAAAACTATTGTTTAACTTTGACATGTCACCGCAAAGAAAAGCACCGCTGTGAATAATAAAATAAATGCTTCCGGGTGTTTTGCATTCTGTCTCGCTGTTGGGGCGAGCCATTGTTGATGGCATTATTCACACCTGTGGTTTTCCTACTACGACAAGGCAAAATACAAAAGGCATGATAATAAGGATATTTACAAAATCAGAATAAACGCCCAGCGGTGGTTTGCCTCTGCTAACCAGTCAGGTTGCCGTTTCAAGTATCAAGTTTGTCCAAAACGTCATCGC